TTTTAAAATCAATAAGCTCTTAGCTGCTAGACAGGACGACTGATATTAATCAAAGTTTACGGTGTATTATGGTGCATGGATAAAAATATACATATTATACATCTATTGACTGGTTATGAGGGTAATATTGTGTTGTCCTTGAGATACCAACTATTTCTCGAGGCGTTAACGATATTATACCGTTAACAATATTAGAGTTTGATGTTGCCAAGAGCACAAATCCAAGCATAAAAGTTTGTGACGTCATTACTGTCCAATGAAAAATAAGTATGAAAAATTACGGGAAATATGATTGTAAAACTATTAACCGGGGTAACAGTCTTTGACTGTCGTACAAGTGAGAGGTTTAGCGCTATAAAACCAAGTTCAATCTACCATTTTTTACATTTGAAAATGCCTGTACCAAGTCAGGAATATGACAGTTGTTGTCCATTCGTTTGATGTGTTTTATCATTTGATTTTGCCATTTGATTAGGGACTTTCCGTTTTGAATTTTCCTCGGAGTTCAGTATTTTTGTGATTTTACTATTGACTGGCAATAATTCATCTATTTCATTAGTTTTATATAGAAAAACATCATATTGATTAATGATAAAAATCCTTATTGGTACAAGTATTTGATGGAAAATTTCAAAATGTTTGTGTAAAATTTTATAGAATACCACGACTCTAAAATATTGCACGCTTCTTCATAAAATATAGATGACTGTATATGTTAAAGGCGAACTGAGACAGAGTTTAATTCTTAAGTTGCATCGAATATACAATACTGAAATCTGCTTTTTAAATTTATAAGTTATTAGTTGCTGGAAACGATACGACTGATATTGATAAAAGTATATTATGGTGTTTGGATAAAATATAGATTCATATAGGTCTTTAGTGGTATTGTGTACATAATAAACATGCCTCTGGTTTGAATTTTATTGTAATTTCAGTCATGTTTATGGATGTATGTGTTGTCTTGATTATTTATGTCTGGTGTAATTATTATTAGAAGAATTTATGGTAAATTGCAAAATGTTGGAGTATAATTTTATAGAATACCACGAGTCTAAAGTACTGTACAGTTTTAAAGAACTTTATTTATTAATTCAAACTGGCTTTTAAAACGCTTTCAGTAACTGTGAGTTTTTAAGAAAGGGGGGATACAAGAGGGAGATTCAAACTCATAGATCGGAAATAAACTGACAACGCCATGACTAAAAAATAAAAAAAACAAACCGACAAATAATAGTACACACGACACAACATAGAAAACTAAAGAGTAAGCAACACGAACCCCATCCAAATCTGGTGGTGATCTCAGGTGCTCCAGAAGGGTATGCAGATCCTGCTCCACATGTGGCACCCATCGTGTTGCTCATGGTATTACAAACCCGGTAAATAGTATAATTCGGTAGGTCACATTCGTGAAAAGGGATTGGATTGTAGTTATAACATAAGAAACATAAGAAATCATCTGTGAAACGGATATTCCATAATAGTCAACCAGCTCGTTATGGCGTCCGTAAAATTTACAAAGGACTGATTTCAACTTCACCATTTGAAACTCTTGATTATATAGCTTCCTTGTGAGCAGCAATCATCTATCAAGAAAATCATAATAGAAAATACAACCCCGGGAATATCGTATCAATTGGGAGATATATACTACGTATGCAGGGGTTGCTGGAATGTTGTTACATTAAAAGGGAAAGTTCACAATCGGAAAGCTGAAATTATGTCCTATGACAGTGAGAGGTTTGGGTGGTATATACTCTGATCTGACCTTTTTGTGGTATATACAGTTCTAGAATCTTTTCATACAATTTTGTTTTTCGTGACATTTGCAAAAAGGACATTGATACAGATTTTGCATTTTCTGCAAGTTTTAGTACACCTTCTTACCAGTTTTATTTTGTAAATAAAATAAGAATAAGATTATGACTTTTTAATATTTATTTGTTAAAGGTAACAATTACAGTTTGAATTAAACATTCGTCCTACAAATGAGCGGTTTGGCATGCTTAACAACGAGATTTAATCCATTATACAAATGAGAGGTCTAGCTTGTTATGAAACCAGGTTTAATCCACCATTCTTTAAATTTTCCTGGAATTTCAATACTTTTGTTATTTTACTTTTCCTGAGTATGATTTAAGCTTGCTATAGGATTTGAGATGAAAAAACATATCTATTTTAAACAAATGCAATCAGATCCGTAATTTGTCTTCTTTTCTTTTGAACACTTAAGCTATGAGAGACGCACTGATAAATACATTTTCAAACTTATAACATAGTGAGCCATACAGAAATGTCTTACGAATCTTGATATGAAAAGAAAAAGTAGCAATAAGGCAAAAGTACTGAATGTTTGAAGCAGTATTCCTATTTTCCAAAACAATAGCAGCAAAAGACATGGTACCAACAGATATAACATCTTTTCCTCCACCATCCCATCCTTATGAAACATCGACCAAGGTAGGAATAATAGTAACAGGCCCTTTTTTGGATGCCGTGTTCTGCAAGTAAAAGTAGAATGGCTAAAAATAGATTTTGAATAAGTTATGCAATTCGAAATAGTAAAGTGAGTCATAACGCACAAAGAAAAAATATTTTATCCAGAAGAAAATCCGAGCTAAATAAGATTTGGACGAAATTAAGAAAAATAAAGTGAGGGACGTCTTTGAATGAATTGTGATAAATGCTTACACAGTTTTAGGTGCCGGGTGCCAGATATTGTCACAATAACCTTTATTATATCTGCTTAGTTTGCTCGGTGAATTTAGTCAATATAACAAAACTATGAACAACTGTTATACAGATGCGAGGTAACCTACTAGTTTCTCCGGAAAATGCCTGTACTAAGTTAAGAAAAAGACAGCTGGTTTCCATTTATTTCAATGGTTGATAATGTAAAAAGCTTAATCGTGTAGGTTTTATTTGCTTTCCTTTTTTGTTTTACGCGTTCCTTTTTATTCTGTGATGAGTCACCAATTCGGTGTTGACATAAACATCAATTATATGGTCATTTTCATAAATTTACTGTTTGTTAAAGTAAGAATTATTCTAAATACTAAGGATTTTCTTATCCAAGGCATAGATAACCTTAGCCGTATTTGGCACAACTTTTTAGAATTTTTGGGTCATCAATGCGCTTCAACTTTGTACTTGTTTGGCTTTCTTTACTCTTTCGATATGAGCGTCATTGGTGAGTCTTCTATAGACGAAAGGCACGTATGGAGTATTAAATTATAAGCCTGGTACTTTTGATAACTATTAGCATGTCGAAGTGTCCTATTGTAATGTTTATTTGTGTATTTCTCTGTCCTGGATGTTCTTGCATTTATTTGTACTGTTGTCCTGTCATGTAATGTTGTCATTTTAGTGTTATATTTTACATTGCCACAAAAGCGCGAGGTTTGGATTGCCGCAAAACCAGCTTCAGCCCGACATTTTTTCTTAAAATGTCCTGTACCAAGTCAAGAAAATGGAAGTTGTTATCTTATAGTTCGTTTCTGTGTGTGTTGCATTATCTTTTATTAAGCTTATTCTGATATATTGGATTTAAATACTGTGTTGATCATAAAGATTATCAAGTACTTGTTAACTTTCCAAATTAGACGTCATTTTATGAATCCTGTTGAAAATCTTTAGTTTTAAATCGATATCGACGGTTGTAGACAAAAGCGAGTCCGGCGAACCTAGATATGAGTTTTGCTTGTCTTGTTTTTTTTTTGCGGGACTGCAAGATTGGTTGATTGTTTGATGTTTGCGACACGTTTTGTAGCAAATATTTCGTATACATTAAGGGGAGCATACAACAGTATCATTGTTTTAGAAACCATTTTATAAAGTTGTAGGTGGGATTGAAAGCATACGTGTTTTACAATCAACTGCCTTAACATAAGCAATATCTAAATCTCCACATTCTTCTTTGATTTCTGCTTTGGTGTCATTCGGGATGCTTTGGTCATCTTCAAAAGCTTCATAGCATGTTTTTGTATCTGGAGTGTCCTGTGAAGACAATGTACGAGGTAATTGATATATATTTGGTAACGTCTGATATTATTTAGAATTGACATTTGTATTTTCATTTCTGTTTACTAAAATAATTTTGGCAAAATGAAAACTAATTTTGTATTGTTTAGACAGTGTAGAGTTTCGCAAATTTATGTTTAGATAAGTATTTATGTTCTTTATTCATAGTCGATAATAATAACTCAAGATATGGGTGCCAAAAAGCGAGGTACAATTACAAAATCTGAATAGGCACATCATAAAAATCTTGTCTCGTTCAGTATTGTTGAAGCAAACTTAAAATAACTTACATTTTTAATCTTTTGAAATACTTCAGAATATGTTTTAATTAATCACAATATATAGTCTGTAACAAATGATTGTTTTTTTTTTTTTTGTTTTTTGGTTTTTTTTTTTTGTGTGTTCTGTTACACCTCTTTCCAAGGTTGCAAGAGGGCTAGTCGTTTACTAACATGATTTACCCCCAGCAGATCCTATAAATGCACTCCATAAGCCATACCATTATTTAGACCGTACGACGAATTATATTAAATCTACATCATTTAAACTAATTGGCAGTAATACAAAATCTCCTTGTATTATAATATCATTTTGAATTAACCGTCTTCTAAAAAGTTCCCTTATTACTGCATAGAAAATATCTTGATTTTCACAAGTTTGAACTAATAAGCTTAGAATTGATAATTTGTCGTACTTTTCTGCTTAAAATATTACATACGTGTGTTATCTAAGGTATCATATTAAGAGAATTGTCACGTGCAATCCTATAACCAACTGGTTTGAAGAAAATAATTATGAATTTAATCCTGCGATTTAAAAAAATAAAGCATTTAGCATGCCTCCATATTAATATATTATATTATTATATTCATATCTTTTGATGCTAAATTCAAGAAAAGGAGTTTTGTCTTCCTTTTTTTTTTTTTGCTCAGTTTCTTTTCCCTTCATAACGTTTGTTGACATTCGCTCACATTTACCTCATAAAACTGAACATTGCAGGTTCCGTTATACTTGATGATTGAATACTCCTAAAACAAAGGAATTGAATATGAATTTTCGATATCAGTAACCTTTTTTCAAATTATTTTAAAAGAAATAAATGAAAGAAGATAAATAGCCATGCCATCTAACAGACTCAGTTTTGCTTACAAATAAACAACAACAAAAAATACGCATATGTTAATTTATACAATTAAAATGGCAACTGAGTATTAAACATATACTTATTTGCATGTGTATCCTTATCGAAAAATTCAAAATTAGATTTGTTTTTAATAAATATGTCGGTACCGAATCACGACGACGTTCTACATATAGTCCAATTGCAGCTATATCGATCCAGTGCTATCAAACAAGGAATATCAAACACTTTTTGAATTTAATCCGTTCTAAGTTGTGTCTTCAATCTATAAATGCTTAAGGTTCATCATAACAAATGGACAAAAATGGCTGTGTTTAGACCTCAAAAACTACTCTGAGTGCAGACTAACATGTACAGTTGGAAAAGTTTTAAGGCCTGGCATCCACTAGATATATAAAAGTTAAATGCTTGTTTTGTTTCAGAAAAATAAAATCTTTTTTGGATTTTGATGGGCATTTTTTTTCGTTCCTGCAGAAGGTGTAAAAATAAACTAAGTTGGGATACAACTTTGAGATGCTCCCTCTCAGGTAAAACCTGTATTGTATTGTATTGATTGTCCTTGATTGGCATGGACAATAGACAGACAATAGATATCTACACAACTATAGGTGAGTTTAAGGGTGTAACTGAGTGGACAGTATCAAAAGAAATTCAGGTGTTTGTTTATTTTTACACCTTCTGCAGAAACGAAAAAAAATGCCCATCAAAATCTTAAAAAGATTTTATCTTTCTGAAACACAAAATGCATTTAACTTTTATATATCTAGTGAATGCCAGGCCTTAAAACTTTTCCAACTGCACAGGTGAGTATGTACTTAGAGTAGTTTTTGAGGTGTAAATACAGCCATTTTTGTCCATTTGTTATGATGAACCTTAACCACATCAACAATATTTAAAAAAAGAACTATAAATCAAGGAAATAAATTTGTACTAATAGTCATCTTACTTTGTCTACACTGGTTATTTCGTCTGCCAGTATAACACCATCTTTCTGGATAATTGCAATATCTGTGTTCCCAATTTGAACATCAATGACGTCGTATTCCTCACCTTTATTATCTTTCAACACGTTTTCTGATACCTTCAAAATTACATCTTAATCAGTTGCTTTTCTTTTCACAATGCTTCATTCGTGTTCAAAAGTTAAAATGTGTGTGCAATAAAATAAAACGAATGAGTTTTTGACAAGCATGTCTTATCAAATACTGCAACAATATGATGGTATTGTGTGTTCTAGAATTTAAAAACAAATATAACAATAAAAGATGTACATGTGCATTGTCATTCTCTAAAATAAGTTTTTACACACAAGAATTTATATATAAAATTAAAAATGAAAATCAGGAATGTTTCAAAGGGACAACAACCCGACTAACGAGCAGAAAACAGCACAAGGCCACCGATTTGTCTTTAGCACTGCGAGAAAATTCTGCACTCGAGGCAGCTTCAGCTGGCATTTAAACAAAAATGTTCACTAGTTCAGTGAAAATAGACGTCACACTTAACTCCAACACATATAAATAAACTAAAAAAGACACAAGACTAACAATTAAAGGCCAGAGGCTACTGACTTGGACAGGCACAAAAATGTTTTGTGAGATCTCAACACACAGCATCACGCACAGTAAAACTCAGTTACAAGATGTCTGAGTCCGATGTCAAAGTCGGATACAGAAAAAAAACACGCAAACTTATGACAGTGATACATAAATTTACAAAGGACAACTAGCAGTTATACAGACATGCCAGCTCCAGGCCTCATGTTTACTGATTGAATTATTATGTCTTTATGATATGAAAATCAAGCCCAATCCCTCTCATTTAGTATCATACCACCATAAAATATATGAGAAGAACATAACCATTATCATGCTCACAAAGCGGTTTTAGAATAAATATGTTTATTTCCGATACCCTGTGAGAGAATCAATATTAATGACCTGACAACAGTATTGTTACTATATATAAAAAAGAAGATGTGGTATGATTTCCAATGAGACAAATACCCACAAGAGACCAAATGACACAGAAATTAACAACTATAGGTCACCGTACGGCCTTCAACAATGAGCAAAACCCATACCGCATAGTCAGCTATAAAAGGCCTCGATATGACAATGTAACACAATTCAAACGAGAAAACTAACGGCCTAATTTATATACAAAAAATGAACGAAAAACCAATATGTAACACATAAACAAACGACAACCACTGAATTACAGGCTCCTAACTTGGGACAGGCACATACATACAGAATGTGGCGGGGTTAAACTTGTTAGCGGAATCCCAACCCTCCCCATAACCTGGGACAGTGGTGTAACAGTACAACATTAGAATATAGCAAGTGCTCTCGACCAATGAAATTGTAGAATTTGGTGTCTCTTAATTGTGAAGAATGAATGTAAATCATGTTCTTAGTAAGGGATTATCCTATTGTGCAGACCTACTTACAATTCAAAACGAAGAGTTTTTATAAATGAGTTACAACTACCCTGAAGCACATTTACCAGATTGAAAGGATTTATCACAGTAATTGAATTTGACTTAAAGTTGCAAAAAATAAAAAAATTAAATAAGTTAAAGTTTACTGCTGAAGTACAATTTGTGATCATGATGTTATGAAAATAAATAACTTTAATTAATTTACCTAAAAAATAAACAATAGAGAATAATTATTTCCAACATTCCGATAAAAAAACCAACAGAAATTTGATTAAAGTTTAAAATTTTTAAAGGCATTTTATTAGAACATTTTCCAGACATTATAAAATCGTTTTAAAAATCCGGACTGAAGTATTGGATGAGGAATAAAATTTATTGTAACTGAAATTTATTTATTGATTGAAACTGTTATTAGAAAAGGATGATTCCTCGCTCAAATATTATAAGATTTGCATTCATACTCACAGTCAAGAAACATATACTTTGTACTGCTGTGTCACCTTACATCTTGTCTATAACACATTATTTTTAATATTTCCCAAATTAAAAGAAATTCCTTACATCACTAAAACTAGCCAATAAATGAAATACTGCAAAATGAAGTCTTGCATCAATTATAAACATTTAATTTACACCAACAATGCAACAAATTTTTAAATACAACCAATCAAGAGATCATTTGCGCCTTGAGCACTTTGCAATATTCTAAATTTGTAAGAGAATGATAATCCCTTACTTCATGATAAGTACTCGCTATCTCTCGTACTTAACCATGAAGAAAGGGATTATCATTCTCTTACATATACTAAGAATGAACTATAGAAATCAATTGAAAAAGGCTTAACTCATCGGATGGATAAAAATACAAATACTTTAAATACAAGTTGACGTGGCCGGGTTCTTATACATCCCAACAACAAAAAGACACTAAGTACAGATCTGAGAGTACTCGCAGTTACTGATAGCTAGTTCAAAACGACTAACAACTAATTAAAAAAATCATGCATATAAGACTAAATTATCAATCAGTACACATCCAAACTATGTCTATTCTGAAAACGTATGTTTCAAGGTTTGGTTAGCTTTTGAGGTGAATGATATTTTTGTACTTTGTATAGAATATTACCATAAAAGATTGTATATGCTATTACTTTTGAATTGCATTTAACTACAATATAAAAAATTCAATACCTTAGATGCTTCAAACATACTGGCACTCAACACAATGAACGATAAAACTATCCATAGATACATTTTTCCACTACAAAAGACATTTTTTAAAATGATAAAAACTATTATGCTTATCAATATTTTCAAAATGTTATTCCCTTAAAGAATGACACAATAGCTAAACAATAACTTTTGGTTGTAATGAATGATTATTGTGGCTTTTTAGCTATTTATTCCTGACCGTTATTGAGATGTACCTAAAACAAATATTTTGATCCAATCAAAGAATGCACCTATTGAATTGAATTTAATCCAATTTAACCTTCTGTATTATGTGATTATTTTAAACTAAATTGTTTATCTGTTGACATACGTCGTTGATATGTAGATTAATATAGAATCGATGTAAAACAAGCTGTCAATAAATAATGTACTGAAATAAAAAAACATAAGTAAACAATTACGAACTTACAATTTCAAAGTAACAGCTCTTTTTGTTTTTGGTATAAACGACCTGTAAATGTGAAAAGGTATGTTGAAGATGAAACTGGCACTTATATAAAATCACCTACAGTTTTTGGTGGGGTTCGTGTTGCTTAGTCTTTATTTTTCTATGTTATCTTTTTTTGTACTATTGTTTGCCTGTTTGTCTTTTTTTTTCCAGCTATGGCATTGTCAGTTTGTTTTCTATTTATGAGTTTGAACGTCCCTCTAGCATCTTTCGTCCCTCTTTTAGATAATTGATATTATAATTTTCGATAATATAAGTCGAAATACAACATTCAGTTAATAAAAGGACACTTAAACTAATTCCCTACATATATATGATTTGCATATACTGTTACTTAAGATTATACAGAGATACTTCGCTGGTTAATCAATTAATGGATGCAACAAAAGAACAGCTAATTCCTAATAGTTATCAAAGGTACCAGGATTATAATTTAATACGCCAGACGCGCGTTTCGTCTACATAAGACTCATCAGTGACGCTCAAATCAAAATATTTATAAAGCCAAACAAGTACAAAGTTGAAGAGCATTGAGTACCCAAACTTCCAAAAAGTTGTGCCAAATACGGCTAAGGTAATCTATTCCTGGGATAAGAAAATCCTTAGTTTTTCGAATAATTCAAAGTTTTGTAACAGGAAATTTTATAAAAATGACTATATAATTGATATTCATGTCACCACCGAAGTGCTGACTACTGGGCTGGTGATACCCTCGGGGACGAAACGTCCACCAGCAGTGGCATCGACCAAGTGGTGTAAATAGTTATCAAAGGTACCAGGATTATAATTTAATACGCCAGACGCGCGTTTCGTCTACATAAGACTCATCAGTGACGCTCAAATCAAAATAATTAGAAAGCCAAACAAGTACAAAGTTGAAGAGCATTGAGTACCCAAACTTCCAAAAAGTTGTGTCAAATACGGCTAAGGTAATCTATTCCTGGGATAAGAAAATCCTTAGTTTTTCGAAAAATGCAAAGTTTTGTAACAGGAAATTTTATAAAAATGACCATATAATTGATATTCATGTCAACACAGAAGTGCTGACTACTGGGCTAAAATTGTTCTTTTGTGCGAAATAAATGAGACAATGGGTCTTTAATATAGCGAGACAATCCCGCACCCGGAGCTGTGCTTCAGCCGTGCTTCAGCTGGCCCCCAAACAAATCTGTGTCAGGTTATCCTATGAAATTAATGAAATAATGACAAATAAATCATTTATTTGCACATTCAATGATGTTAATATGTATTCAGACTGCTTTTAAACAAATGTATAATTAGTTATCAAAGATACCAGGCTTATAATTTGATACGTCAGTCGCGCGTTTCGTCTTCATAAGACTCATCAGTAACGCTCAGATCAAAATAATTAGAAAGCCCAAAACATGTATAAAGTTGAAGAGCATTGGGGACCCAAAATTCAAAAAAGTTGCGCAAAATACGGCTACAGTAATCTTTGCCTGGGATAAGAAACTCATTAGTATTCCGAATAATTCATACTTTTGCAAACAGTAAATTTATAAAAATGACCATGTAATTGATATTCATGTCAACACCGAAGTGCTGACTACTGGGCTAAAATTGTTCTTTTGTGCGAAATAAATGAGGCAATGGGTCTTTAATATAGCGAGACAATCCCGCACCCGGAGCTGTGCTTCAGCCGGGTTTCAGCTGGCCCCCAAACAAATCTGTGTCAGGTTATCCTATGAAATTAATGAAATAATGACAAATAAATCATTTATTTGCACATTCAATGATGTTAATATGTATTCAGACTGCTTTTAACCAAATGTATAATTAGTTATCAAAGGTACCAGGCTTATAATTTGATACGTCAGTCGCGCGTTTCGTCTTCATAAGACTCATCAGTAACGCTCAGATCAAAATAATTAGAAAGCCCAAAACATGTATAAAGTTGAAGAGCATTGAGGACCCAAAATTCAAAAAAGTTGCGCAAAATACGGCTAAAGTAATCTTTGCCTGGGATAAGAAAAGCATTAGTATTCCTAATAATTCATACTTTTGCAAACAGTAAATTTATAAAAATGACCATGTAATTGATATTCATGTCAACACCGAAGTGCTGACTACTGGGCTAAAATTGTTCTTTTGTGCGAAATAAATGAGGCAATGGGTCTTTAATATAGCGAGACAATCCCGCACCCGGAGCTGTGCTTCAGCCGTGCTTCAGCTGGCCCCCAAACAAATCTGTGTCAGGTTATCCTATGAAATTAATGAAATAATGACAATTAAATCATTTATTTGCACATTCAATGATGTTAATATGCATTCAGACTGCTTTTAACCAAATGTATAATTAGTTATCAAAGGTACCAGGCTTATAATTTGATACGTCAATCGTGCGTTTCGTCTTCATAAGACTCATCAGTAACGCTCAGATCAAAATAATTAGAAAGCCCAAAACATGTATAAAGTTGAAGAGCATTGAGGACCCAAAATTCAAAAAAGTTGCGCAAAATACGGCTAAAGTTATCTTTGCCTGGGATAAGAAAAGCATTAGTATTCCGAATAATTCATACTTTTGCAAACAGTAAATTTATAAAAATGACCATATAATTGATATTCATGTCAACACCGAAGTGCTGACTACTGGGCTAAAATTGTTCTTTTGTGCGAAATAAATGAGGCAATGGGTCTTTAATATAGCGACAATCCCGCACCCGGAGCTGTGCTTCAGCCGTGCTTCAGCTGGCCCCCAAACAAATCTGTGTCAGGTTATCCTATGACATTAATAAAATAATGACAAATAAATCATTTATTTGCACATTCAATGATGTAAATATGTATTCAGACTGCTTTTAACCAAATGTATAATTAGTTAGCAAAGGTACCAGGCTTATAATTTATACGTCAGTCGCGCGTTTTGTCTTCATAAGACTCATCATTAACGCTCAGATCAAAATAATTAGAAAGCCCAAAACATGTAAAAAGTTGAAGAGCATTGGGGACCCAAAATTCAAAAAAGTTGCGCAAAATACGGCTAAAGTAATCTTTTCCTGGGATAAGAAAATCATTAGTATTCCGAATAATTCATACTAATGCAAACAGTAAATTTATAAAAATGACCAAATGATTGATATTCATGTCAACACCGAAGTGCTGACTACTGGGCTTGAGATACCCTCGGGAACAAAACGTCCAAGTCTTTGTTTTTAAGACCTACACATTTTGCGCAAGTAATGTTTCTTTATCAGAGTGGAAGTGGTAAGATTCAAAGATCAAAGACCTAGAACCTCATTTCCAAGGTCATACAACATTTATATAAAGGTAAGGTTTTATTTTTTGTTAATGAATAAAAATGTTTCATATGAATGGCCTTTTTCAAAATTATTTTCAAAGATATAAATGAAGAAGATTTATAGCCATGCCATCCAACAGACTCAGTTTCGTTGACGCTTAAATACATGGTATAAAAGTTTTAGATAAAGGATTTGATAAACAATATTCAGTTTACAATAGGATACTTTTAGTGTCATTGTATAACTTACTTTACACCAATTCTAAAAAATATGTCATTCGCAGATACTTTTGATAAAATTAGAGCGAAAATTCGCTGCTCCAATTTATAGAATGTCAATTCATGTGACAAAAAAACATTGTTCTTTTAGCGTGAAAAATACTTGATTTTGACCCGATACAATTTTGTTTAACCCTTTTTCAGAGTCACTTGCCTTACATGTTTCCTAATTCAAACGACACCTTGACTTTATCATGTTACCTTATGAAATTAATGAAGTTATGACAAATTAATCAATAATTCAAATATTTAAGGATGCAATAACTCTATAACAAAAGTAATCGAACTATTTTAAACCAAATGTATAAAATTGTTGTTTAAAAGACCTTAACATTTTGCGCCAATTTTTGGTCTTAATTGTTCCGTGTTAGAGTGGTAGTGGTAATATGCCAAGATCAAAGATGTTGAAACTCAATTTTCAGGTTAAAATGTATAAGCCATTAATATAAAGGTAATGTTTCTGTTATTGAGTTTAGGGGTATCCGATACAGTTTCAATGGAGTTAACATTTGGCGCGACGTTGAGCGTTCGAATTCCCGCAAAACGTCACTCTTTGCGGGACGTTATGCATGTACTTTTCCGTATAACGAACGATATTTTGTACAATCGATGCTCCAATTTATGTTTCTTACACATGTTAACTTCTACGCCCTTAAGATTAGGGGATTGGATTCTAACAGGATAAAAGTCTAATAAAATCATAAGAAATTAAACACATATTACTGTTTCTGATGTTCCTCATTTTGAGGATTCTGTGAGATCTTCAACAAAATATCGAATAGTGAGCAATCTCAAGACGACTGACCCTTTTGGTTTTACTAATATAATGCATGTCAATTATCATTTTTATTATCATTCATCATCCATGATCGAATGTTGATTTGGATCCGATTTTCTGACATTTTATTACTGCACAGAAAGGCAAAGTCAATATCAATTTGTGTTATAATTTTTATCCCATTTATTTAGGTAAAATAAATAATGGTATATCGCCAATATTAACGATTATACAACTTTTATTAAAAGAACAAACTTCCAATGTCCTCAGCGTTGCACGTATTTTATCCAACGAAGGGCAATAACTAAAAAAAAGGTTTTTTTTTGTTCTTTAAAACTTTTTACAAATATCTTTCTTTGAGAAATGACGGATTGACAGCAAATACAATGCAATTTCCAATATAATTAATATTTCCAAGTGGCATAAAAAAAATTTAAAAATAGTTGATAGGCACTGTTTTCGAACATGTCCATACGATATAAGATTTACAAAAATCTGGCAAGAATTTAACACGTTAAAGAATCTAATAAACAGGAAGGACAGACAGACAGACGGACGTGCAGTATATCTATGACCCTGCAACTTATCGCGCGGGGGACAAACATATATATAGTTATTTACCTATGAAATTACGCTATAAGAGAAGTATTTGGATTTTAATCGCAACTTTACTTTAGAGGAATAAAAAGGATCAAAACCAACACCAAAGTTATGTTATGTAAAGGTAACATGTCCTGTCTTTCAGATATTATTCGATCGTTTTTGCCAAATCAACAATAATGAAAAATTAAAAAATTATTGTATAGTTTCTCTGTCAGGTAAAAGCCTCCTTTAACAAATTGAAGATTCTGCTATATAAGATTTTATTTTCTGACAAGTTCGGTTTGCAAGAAAAGACCTCTTATAAGTAACCTTATGCTGTGATCCAATGGACATAAGCATATACAAGTGAACTTTAAAAACTGGTTAAAAACAGTAGGGGCGTCGAAGTTTTTTTCAACTGTAATCATTGACCCGGATTTTATGAATAAATGTGAAATTCTTAAAAAGAGATTAGAATGTGAATAAAGGATTTTAAGGGGTTTGTTCATGAAACAACCGCCCACCAACCAAAAAACAAACAAAACCATCTAGAGGTCAACATATGGTCTAAAACAATACACGAGTACGGTACCCGATGTCAAGTTCTAAATTGACGCGAGTCTTTAAATTTATCCGTAAAAAATATAAACAGTCCGCAATAACTATGCTTGAGATGTTTCCCACTTGGATCACAAACAGAAAGAGGTATTTATGATACACATCCGAAAATAATATTACCAATTTGTAGGTTACTCTTTATAAGCAATATTTATACATCTGAAAAATGTCCCCGATAACTTGCAATGAAAATTGGCAGGAGACGTCCAAATTGTCTGCCAGCGACGTCGTGCATTTTCGCGCTAGCGTTGAGGTTATCAAAGGGGACGCAATTTTTAGGATAAATCGCGATTTATCTTCGAATCCAACACGGTGATGTCTATTTTTTATTTGCTATTTTGAGTAAGCATCGCAAACAGCAGTTTATGTAGAAAAATGAGAAAAATTACAATATAAGAACCCCTCCATTAACACATTTTAAGGTAAAAATATTATCCTACTTTGAGCATCTTATCCGTATTTATAAGCATGGCTTGATAAAGTTAACTAGTCATTCTTGTAAGGATTTATTTTTCACTTATTTTCACTAATCACAGCATCAGATTGAATCCAATCTTATCAATTTATGACGAAGAATATCTACTCTAAATTTTTTATAACTTTACTTCACTGCAAAATAACAGAATTTTCAGCCTCAATTTTCTCGAAAACAAGCACGGTGACATATATTTTACTTAGTGATTTCTTTTATAACTCGCCCAGGCTTACAACATATTTCAAAGTTATAAAAATGGCATAATAACATGAAATTGTATCGGATGCCCTTAAGTACATTTTTTAGAGAAAAATTAAGATTTTCTACATTTACAAAGCAATACTTAAGGACATGGTAAATTAATACAAATCTTTCATTTGAATTAAAGTTTCAAAACAATATTGTATGTCTCTTTTTTCTAATGTTACTAAAAACCTAAACTGATCATTTGTGATTCTATATGGCTGAATACTAATGCGCTACTTTAACGAGTAGTACGTGTGTAAAGCCATAAAAAGTACCAACTTTTTATTGAAACCTGTATATAAATTTGGCGAGAACCTGTCATCTGTTAGATTATTCTGCTACATTTATTCTAAAGCTGCTTTGCATTTACAAATAAAGTTCTATAACACAAAATCTACCAAACACTGCCTCACTAAAATGCCGACTAATATATGATTTTCAAATAAATTAAGCATGAAGTATACATTTGAATAACTTAATCGATCTTAAACATCGCTGAAACAAGAAACTATTTTTTTTAATAATCTATCTATTATTAATATAACATACCTTTTCTTGCCTTTGCTGGATGTCTGAAGATTATATCTGTCGCCTAATATAGTCACCTTCATATGTTCCTTGTTGTAGTACCTGTAGCCAATCAGAACTTTCTGTCTTTCATACTTTGAAGACATGTCGCAAAAAAGTTTTGTTCCTGATTCTATACTTAAGAAAGAACTTAATACATGTCATATTTTTCTTTACTACAAAAATCATTAAATGGAAAAAAAATGAAAAATGGTTTAGGTAAATAACCAGTTTAAACGTAAACTCATTAATTTGCAGTATTTCGCAATAAAAATACAATTACTCCTTCTTCTTCATATTGAGACTAATGCTCGACAACCGACAGTGTAAATATATCACAGACTATGACGTTAACGCTTCTCGTCTCTAAAGGTATCTATAAATCAAATGAATTTCTAATAACACGCTTCATTTAAAAGTAAACCTTTGTTTGAAAATAGATTTGTATCTTCTCTCAAACAGTGGGTCTTTTCTTTTAGAATGAACATGTTTATCAATTTGTGTACCGATACTTTAATTATAAAGCAATTTATTTTTATCCTATTTTTAACCTAAGATTCATTTGTTTATGTCATGACGAGAAGATATCGCAAACCTAAACTGGCCTTTCCATCTATGTACATTTATATTTTAGGCTAAACTTGTAACCAATTGATTGATTGATTGATTGATTGATTGATTAATTGATTAAATGATTGATTGATTGATTGATTTATTGATTGATTGATTGCGAAATGACTATGGGTTGGGCAATTTTATCCCGAGGGATAGCGAAAGTTAAACTACGACTATAAATGTCTAATTAATGGTTGAATGATAAAAAATCTACGGCTGTCATGAGATATTTTGATTATAATACGACAAATACAGTAATTACGTCAACAGTACGCACGAAACTGTTTTGCTGTTCCGTTTTACCCAAACGTAAAGTATTAAAAATATTATCTTATTCATTAAAATTTTTTTTTTAAAAAGTCACAATTTTTTACCAACAAATGTTCTTTTTATCCAATTTTATTACATTCTGAGGCGTTCAAGAAGCATAGAAACGACAGGTGTTTACATTATACACCGAAAGCATACATATAAGCATGCCGGTGATTCAGTTGTCATTTCGGTGCCTTTTATAGCTGACTATGCGGTATTGGTTTTACTCATTGTTGAATACCGTACGGTGTCCCTTAGTTGTTAATTGTTATATCATTTGGTCTCTGGTGGGGAGTTGTCTCAATCGCAATTCTACCCCATCTTCTTAATTTTATATATGACGTCACCTTGTTTAGTTGACAAAGACGATAATATCATTTCGCGGAATTTTCCTTTAATAGAAAATTTACACCGAAATAATAGCTGAAATTAGCTGATTTTTTTATTTACATGTACATTAGAATAGACATAATAGTTTTGCAATTGAAGCTTGGCCTACCTACAACATGAGTTTTTACTGTCACAAATTGAGTTTACCTGGTAGTATAAATAAAATAGGCGTAACTCAAAAAAGCCAATGTGTGAATTATTGCGTTTGCGATATATAGGTCGTCATATTAGAATTGTTGTTTAATGCCAATTGTAGCACTATAGAGATATTAAATAGTGGTCAGTTTTTTATAGGTTGAGGAAGCCTAAATGCATGAGAGAACCACCGACCTACGACAGGAAGACTAACAATCCTATTTAATATCTTTTGGTGTAGAATACACCTAGCACGTGCAACATTCGAACTCACAACCCAAGTGTTGACAGACTATTGATACAGTAGTTCAACTACGTAGACCACTCGGCCACTGAGGCCCCTCTTGCAACAGAAATTTGACAACTTGGTAACTAAAAGGCTGTTGTTTGTTGAATGAAATTGAGAACATACAAATAATAGAGCTTATATGTGAATTCGATAATTGTCCATATATCTTTATTCATTTATTCATTATTAAGTAAGAGTATAACAAAACTCCAATTCTATTACCGCAAACCAAACTTGTAAAGGTTTTGGTGTTTCTACACCAAATAAATTTTTATGACGGATCGAATCGAGAAGGATTATGAATCCTTCAAATTGAAAAAAAATGAGGTTGACTTCGCCCTGGAATGTTATATACTCCGTATGCAGACGATGCTGGAATGTTGCTACATAAATATTGAAAGTTCACAAGTAGGAAGCTGAAATCATCACTTCTGTCGTTTTTTTAGTTTTTTGTTTTTTTTTGTTTTTTTTTCAAACGACCCTCATTGTCAATTACTATATGTTAGTCAAGATATGATGCAGACTTTACTGTATATTTTGTATTCTTTATCCCAAGTTCGATGGGATAGCTGCGTTCAACAAAGTCACCAAATTTTGAATTATTTAGGTAGAGAATATCCTCTACATAGCGGAAAGTAAAGATAAAAGTAAAATCACAAAAATACTGACCTCAGAGGAAACTTCAAAAACGGAGAGTCCATAATCAAATGGCAAAATCAAAAGCTCAAATACATCAAACGAATGGACAACAGTCATATTCCTGACTTGGTACAGACAGTTTCTCATGTAGAAAATAGTGGATTAAACCTGGTTTTAAAGCTAGCTAAACCTCTCACTTGTATGACAGTCGCACAAAATTCCATTATATTGACAACGATGTGTGAATAAAGGATACTGCTAATTTCTTTTCTTTCTTCTTAAGAAGTTCCTGCATGAAGTCAGCCTCATATGAATTAAGGAAAAAGTCTGCAAAAACGGAATACAGTTGGTTTCCATGGGAATTTCGATTGTGTGTTGAAATCACGTCATAAAAAAGTAACAAATTTGTTGTCAATCAAGAAATCAAGCATCTTGATAATGTCAATTTCAGAGATTATTTTTTTTCTTTTTAATCAAATTGATTTGTTTACAAAGTACGATTTATCCCTCCCTAAGGCAATATACTTGTATCTACGTTAACTATTTTTTCTAATGAAACAAAACAAGACCAACTCTTTCAATTTGTCTTTTTGTTTGAAATAGGGAATAATTGTGTAAAGTGTAAAAAAGTCAAATGTTTTCACACTATTGCAAGATTAAAGAGTTTTAGATTGAAAAAAAGTAAAATCACAGAAATACTGAATTCAGAAGAAAATTAAAAAAGGAAAGTTTTTATCAAATGGCAAAATCAAAAGCTCAAACACATCAAACGAATGGATAACAACTGTCATTTTCCTGACTTGATACAGGCATTTTCTTATGTAGAAAATGGTGGATTGAACCTGGTTTTATAGATAGCTAAACCACTCACTTATATGACAGTCGCATCAAATTCCATTATATTGACACAGTGCGTGAACAAAACAAACAGATACAATAGGTGAAAATGTCAAAAATAGGGGTACAGCAGAATGTGCTCTAAAAGATCTTTGGTATTTTTTTAGTACCCACATCTGATTCACGCCAAGTCTCACAATAGTTTTGAAGCCCCGCTTTGATTGATGAAAAAATGGTGTTAATAAATTAGAAAGAGGTTTCGTAGAGCACTTGGAAGACGCAGCAATATAACGTTGGTCGTAAGGACATTTGTGTAGTTTAGGTATCCAATACAGTGACGAAAGATCCAGTTCTTCATCTTTTATTTTGTCTTTGGTTGAAATTCCAAAGAAACCTAGAACAGATCTATGATTATCCAGAATTCCCTCCTTGGTAAGTGTCGTGGGGCATACTAGTAAGTTAAGTTTCCAACAGAATTGTCAATTTCCAATCCATTTATCAAGCAGTTAATGTGCTGTACACACAAAATCGATGTTGTTTGGGGCTTTATCTACAGGGAGAACAACATATTTGTCATGGAGGTAGGACAGGCGTTTTGCAACATAAGGGTCTTTAAAGTTTGATGTAGCATAGGAATTAATAGACCCATTCAGTTTTTAAGACTGATTTGTAGCAACGCATTTGCGGCCTTAATTGATCAATTCGGAAAGAGTATCTACGTTTTCTTTCTCACGTTTAATCCATAGCCTGGCATAGATCTCGACTGAATCCATCAGTATTTTGAAGTTGTGTTTCCAATTGATGGATTAAGGCTCACGATATTTCGGGCCTTTTGATAACACATTTCGCAGAGAAGTGTTATTGACAATGTTTAGGTCACCGGTAATAACGTGGTCAGCGGATTATATATGAATGGGGGACTAGCACAGGTGCAATCAGGAGGTTCAGACTTGTGTCGTCAATACTGAGATCCAGCAACACATGTTTGTAATTGAAAATGTTAGTTGCAATTGGTTTGGAATAGGTATAAGAAATGATAGGTATAGGCAGATCTTTAAATAAAGGGAGCTATTTTCAAGTGAACTAATTTATGATGAAGAATATTGCCCAAGTTGATGGCATCGAGACCTTTGTTGGCAAAGGGAAGTTTTAGAAAGGATCTCTTCTCCTTTTCATCTTTTCCAATGCAAACTGGTTTGAAAAGTCTGTGATGAGAGTTATAAGTTTGTATTGGATTGAATTGGGGTTTGTAACAGTGGTTTCCAAACATAAACTGCACAGAGAATGAAGTTTTGAAAGGAGTAATGAATAAAGGTTCGTGCGAATGTGATGAATACCTAACGGCTTTTGTATAAATGGCAGCAGGTCATAAATAGAGGGTAGACATTATGCAGAGTAGGTGATTTATAATGATGAGGATCGTTAGTCATGTGGTATATTGTTTTGATGATGCGAACTTGCATAGACAGGATTGAATGATCAGGCTGGTTAAAATGCTTGCAAGCAATGTCGCTTACATTGTCGTTGGTGTCTGATCTTTGGCAAAACATACGTTTATTTGGCCTTCTTCTCGTTTCACCGACATATACCAATCCGCAGAGGTTACACTCTAATCCGTAGACGACATTTGTTGATTTACAATTCAGATCATCGAAGCTTCTGGTAAAAAAACTTTAAATTAAATTGCTAGTTAATTAAGCATCTGTTATTGAAATTTTGCAGGTTTTGCAGGTTTTTGGTTTTACATTTCGAAATGAGACAGTGTTGTTCAGAGCCATTAAAATCCAAAATGTCTTGTAGGATAACTGAACACGGCTGAGGACCCAGATATTTGTTGTTGTCATTATCATGATGATCTGAATGTGTCATATAAGGGATATTTGTCATGTCTAGTGATGAGGGGACATCTGCCATATCAAACGACACCGTGTCCATGGTGACGTCTGTTTCGGACCTTTTTATACTGGGTGA